CTTTAAACGTCAATGATGAGAAATAAGTCTCAAATTCAATGATTAGAAATAACTGTCAAATTCAATGATTATAAATAACTCTCAAAGTGAATGATAAGAAATATCTGTCAAAGTCAATGACGAGAAATAACTGTCACATACAAGGATGAGAGATATCTGTCAAAGTCAATGACGAGAAATAACAGTAAAAGTCAATGACGAAAAATAACGATAAAATTCAATAATGAGAAATAGCGCTCAAAGTGAATGATGAGAAAAAACTGTAAAATTCAATGATGAGAAATAACTGTAATAGTCAATGATGAGAAATATCTCTCAAAGTCAATGATGAGAAATAACCGTCAAAGTCAATGATGACAAATAACTGTAAAAATCAATGTCGAGAAATAACTCTCAAAGTCAATGATGAGAAAAAACTGTCAAAGTCAATGACGAGAAATAACTGTAAAAGTCAATGTCGAGGAATAACTCTCAAAGTCAATGATGTGAAATAACTGTCGAATTCAAGGATGAGAAATATCTGTCAAAGTAAATGACGAGAAATAACTGTAAATGTCAATGAAGAGAAATAACTGTCAAAGTCAATGACGAGAAATAAATGTAAAAGTCAATGATGAGAAATAACGCTCAAAATCAATGATTAGAAATAACTATAAAAGTCAATGATTAGAAATAACTTTCAAAGTCAATGATGAGAAATATCTGTCAAAGTCAAAGACGAGAAATAACTGTAAAAGTCAATGTCGAAAAATAGCTGTAAAAGTCAATGATGAGAAATAACTGTCAAATTCAAAGATGAGAAATAATTCTCAAAGTGAATAATAAGAAATATCTGTCAAAGTCAATGACGAGAAATGAAAGTAACTTACAATGATGAGAAATATCTGTCAAAGTCAATGACGAGAAATAACAGTAAAAGTAAATGATGAGAAATAACTGTCAAAGTCAATGACGAGAAATAACTGTCAAAGTCAATGATGAAAAATAACTGTTAAAGTCAATGATGAGACATAACCGTCAAAGTCAATAATGAGAAATAACTCTCAAAGTCAATGACGCGAAATAACTGTAAAATCAATGATAAGAAATAACTGTCAAGGTCAATGACGAAAAATAACGATAAAATTCAATGATGAGAAATAGCGCTCAAAGTGAATGATGAGAAAAAACTGTGAAATTCAATGATGAGAAATAACTGTAATAGTCAATGATGAAAAATGACTCTCAAAGTCAATGATGAGAAATAACCGTCAAAGTCAATGATGGCAAATAACTTTAAAAATCAATGACGAGAAATAACTCTCAAAGTCAATGATGAGAATTAACTGTCAAATTCAAGGATGAGAAATATAGTTCAAAGTCAATGACGAGAAATAACTGTAAATGTTAATGATGAGAAATAACTGTCAAAGTCAATGATGAGAAATAACGCTCAAATTCAATGATTAGAAATAACTGTCAAATTCAATGATGAGAAATATCTATCAAAGTGTATGATAAGAAATATCTGTCAAAGTCAATGACGAGAAATAACTGTAAAAGTCAATGTCGAAAAATAACTGTAAAAGTTAGTGATGAGAAATAACTGTCAAAGTCAAAGACGAGAAATAACTGTCAAAGTCAATGATAAAAAATAACTGTTAAACTCAATAATGAGAAATAAGGCTCACAGTCATTGATGGGAAATTACAATCTAATTCAATGATGAGAAATAACTGTAAAAATCAATGACGAGAAATAACTCACAAAGTCAATGATGAGAAATAACTTTCATATTCAATGATGAGAAATAACTATAAAAGTCAATGATCAGAAATAACTTTCAAAGTCAATGATGAGAAATATCTGTCAAAGTCAATGACGAGAAATAACTGTAAAAGTCAATGTCGAGGAAAAACTCTCAAAGTCAATGACGAGACATAACCGTCAAATTCAATGATGAGAAATAACTATAAAAGTCAATGATGAGAAATAACTGTCAAAGTCAATTACGAGAAATAACTGTAAAAGTCAATGATGAGAAATAACTGTCAATGTTAATGATGAGAAATAATACTCAAAGTCAAGGATGAGATAGTCATTCGTCTTTGTTGCTCATGAACATTTTCCCGAACTATGTCTTAATGCAACACTCCTCCTAAAATGCAAATGCTGGACAAAATACATTAGCCCAGACTTCAACATTCCGAAAAGATCATACGTCTGCCGCTATTCGTAAGACCACACGCAGCTATAGCCGGTATCTAACGGTGCCTAAATGTTGTCTTTGTTTCCCGCATTCAGTGCGATGTCACCTTCACCCACTTACTACCCTCATAGACGATGTCCTGTTCGGTAGCACGCACTACACGCTCCAACACGCACTAATCAAGCGACAATTGACCCGAATAGCACCACTCAGCCGTGCGTGTATCACCGTGCCGCGAAGACTTTAGATGGGGATATTCATTTGACCTCATTCAGAGCTGATGAAACGTATGAGAAAGTTAGGACGCTCATATACTTGATAACACTAATAAGGGATAGGGGGGGGGTAGAGTGAGTTTTGTGAGATGTTTGCAGATCTTTTAATTATCTAACTTAACATTGAAAAAAAAACAAAAAAACTAAAACAATATGAAATCCATCTTCCCAGAATTCTTTCAAAAGTAAAAAGAAAAAAAAAATGAAAGTCAAATAATTTTGCAATGGAAAATCACCAAAGCAAATAAAAAGTGTCAGGTTGCAAGAGACAAGCATTTTTTTCAGAAGAAAGAGAAAAACCTTTAAAATGAAACAACACAGGTAATCAACAAAATTATTTATTGGACACATAAAGAAAAAAAATAAAACATTTTAAAAATAAAGCGTTGAACATCTCCGTTTCTTCCATGTGTATTTAAGTGGGGTTAGAGAGTCTAAGGAAGTTCCCCAAGACCAGATTAGAGATTAGGGCTGGCGGAGTGAATGTCAAGGACGTGTTCAATTAATGATGCATTTTAAAATAAGTCAAATGGGGGAAAAATGTTTGGGGGCGATTTTCATCGTGTCAATGAAGCGAAAGATAAATACTTGGGAACATCTAGAATATTTTTTTTTCTTTTTGTTGATACAATGATTTTCAAATATTTAAAGGAAAAAAAAAAAGGTTGAAGTATTTCTTTGAAAGTTACATCCCTAATAACTTTCTCTTTCTTCACTAAATTCATATCATTTGGGAGTAGAGAATATGTCATATGACCATTTGCTTGTACATAATCGCTGACTCAATATCACAACTCGTAGTCGATTAAGAAAGAAGAATTGTCCTACACGCCCTCGGCCAGTAAGTCTATAGTGTGCAAACAAGTGACACAAACGAGGTTTGAACCCAGCTCACCCACGACGCAGGTACTGTTCATAATCATAGACTCCTAGAATCATCTCACGCACCGAGGTACCGTTGACCGATGTTTGCGTCTTGTATGTTACTTATTAATCCAGTTCGATTAAAGGTAACTATAGCTGGTTGTCGGGTAAATCCCTCATTCGTAGATAGTTACCTTTTATGATCTATATATGAAAAAAAATTGAATTAAATAATAACAAAAAAAAAAAATTACGATGCATCGGTAGTTTTCAAAGTGATTCAGACGGTCCTCATGTTTGTAAGAAAATGTTACGCCAATCATGCCTAAGAAATATTTCATTAGAAAAAAAATCCGAGTTTTACAGGTGCAAAAATTGGGGAATACCATCAAGACGTCAAGGAATGTCACGGGATGGGGAAAGTCAACACTTCGTTGGACATTTATTTATAGCTAAACTTGACTTAATGGAGTAAAATTCACTTAAAGCAAGTACTCCCCGCCATTCATTGACCAGGACTTGGCAAGATGTGAACAAGGTCACGCTGACACAGGCCGTTGGACAAACACCGCGGCCCCATAAAGAGCTTGGAGCTGAGCTCATGGCCGACAACGCGGTAGTCGCTGGCCGGCAAGGTAGGTTACCTTAAAATGATTGTTTCGGTAAATATAAAAATAACGTCCAGTGTTTCTTTCTTCTAATAAACCCATTGGTAATGTTTCAGCAGAGAATTTAAAGATGGTTCCAATAATTAAAATATACTACGAATGAACACAGAGTGAATTAAATTTTCTGGTGGATATCAAACACTTTCGTTGAAATGTCTTACAATTTGGTAGTTTGTTTATTTTATATTTGCTACTCTGTTGTATACTGTATATCTGTATGCGTCTTTGATATTGATTTATTATTAAACCACGTTTTGTCCAAAGGACATTCAGCAAGACGTCCTTAATAATAATAAAAAAAGTTATTAAATCATTACAACGCTTTCAAATTTGAAGTTAAAAAAAAATTATTCATTTGGTACCAGTGATATAGTTTTATTCTTTAAGTACAAAATAGGGATAACTAAAAATTCTGCGAACAAAGTCAACGCTGCATTTGCCGATCATTTAATGGATAATTTATGGATTAGTTTTGACGAAACCCCATGGGTCAAACTGAAAAATCAAAATGACTTTTATTAAGTTAAAAAAAAAAAATAAAAAATTACGCAGTATTGAAAAACTTATTGATTTGACCTGCAGCCATCGAATCCTATAATTAGACGTTCTATTTTAAATATTATTCAATTAACAAGACAAAATACAATCATAAATTAGAAACATTTAATTGAAATTGTAAATTGTGAATACCGAAAAAAAAATAGTACAAAATCGTACATGTATTCATTACGCTCTTCACCAGTAGTGTAGAATTAAAGAAAAACATATTTTTGGTTATGTTCCCTACATGAAGGAGCCTTCATGAATTGTTTTTAACGAACTAGTCTCAATTGGAATCGTCATTTCTTGCATGCACCTAATCCAACATTTGGATTGAATCGATTTCCAAATGTTGAACATCTTTGATAGGATGTTATAAGAGCTGCTCTCTCCCCCCCCCCCTTTTTTTTTTACACCGGAAACAGTGAGATCAGCAGTCGTAACGTTGTTAATTTTTTTCCTCTTAGATGTCACGTTGCATCACTGTCCTGACGTCATTGGCCCTACTACTAGCGGCTGCCCATAGTTTGCCAAGGCAGTTGTCCAGCGGTGATGAATGTGACATCTTGAGGCTGAAGGTGAGTCTTCAATGTTAAATCTTTAGCCTGAAGGTAAGTATTTAATGTGACATCTTGAGGCTCAAGGTGAGTGTTTAATGTGACATCTTGAGGCTCAAGATGAGTGTTTAATGTGACATCTTGAGGCTCAAGGTGAGTGTTTAATGTTAAATCTTATGCTTGGAGGTGAGTGATAAATGTGACATCTTGAGGCTGAAGGTGAGTGATATGTGTGACATCTTGAGGCTGAAGGTGAGTGATAAATGTGACATCTGGAGGCTGAAGGTGAGTGATAAATGTGACATCTGGAGGCTGAAGGTGAGTGTTGAATGTGATGACGCTTCCTTAATTTTTTAAGATAACAAGACATAATGATTTTTTTTTTATAAGTCCCGTAACTGCATTTTCTGAGTGTGCTGCAGCATTCCCAAGGTGGTCTCTCTTTGTAAAGCTCTTTTAAAAAAAAAATAACTTCACTTTTGTTCGTGGTTGTCAAAATCTTCGGACGGCCTCCCACTTGCCGTCAAACTATCGAGATGAAACTTAGCACATAGACTTGTTGCCAATGACAACACATTCTTTTCAGATTTTGAGCCCGGAACCCCAACCCCCAAACCCCAAACCCCAAAAAACAGTTAGTCCTGTATTTCAAGAGGAAGATGAAGGAAATAGGATGACACTTGATTTCACGAAATAAAAATACTGATAACTGCGTTTAATGAGATTCTTAAAAATATATCGCAAGTGCGTTTGGTGCGTAATATATTCTTTTATTTTCTGAAATAGTTGGTGAAATAAATCTGCGGTGTGATAGCGGGTGGGTCACTAGAATATTAATATAGTTCAGGGGCGTGAAAAAAATGAGTTGTTACGAGCCTCAGAAAGCATTTATTCGGAAATCTTTTGTTTGAGGGTTGGTGAATCAACATTTGACTTATAAGTGTTCAAGATCGATTTCCGAGTGATTGTGCTGAGCTATTGTTGATTATGCAATGCTTTTTTAATGTTGTCTCTGTTAGCGTTAGTTACAGTGATACATAGCGCGGTAAATCTTTGTTTGTTTGAAACGTTGATTGTTTAATGTATCGTATACTCGAACAGGCTCAAGAAAGTTTCGATCTTGACATCAGCGTGACATCTGGAACTTTCGCTCCAAACTTTGACGAGACAATGAAATTCTCGGACCAATCTCAAGTCAGATTTCAGCTTCTTGTCCAGTACCTTGACTGTGTGTCCAGGAGACAAAAGTAGGTATGGGAAATAGGTGACCTTTTCTTCCTTTCAACCATTTATAGCTTTTTCTATATCACCGTTACATGACCCTTGATCCTTGCACTGATAATTTGTTTTTACAAACTTGGCTTAATTTATCTCGCCCATATACAAAAAGGCCCGGTTACAAATAAGTAGCTCTATATATAAAATTTTGAGAAATTTGTTAAAATTTAAAAAAAAATTAAAGTTCAATGCTAAAGAATTAATGTTTTTTTTACAAATTAAATATTTGAGATGATACAGAACTATATTTATGTAATCAGCTGATGGAGTTATTGAGATGATACAGAACTATACTTATGCAAGCAGCTCATGAAGCTAACTGTAACAGAGCCAATAATTTTGAAACATTTTCAAAGTAATGTTAAAGTTGACTAAAATTTTTAAAAAAAATGAAATATACAAAGACGTAGTTAATTATATTTCTTTACCTTTGATCAGACAATCTGTCTTTCAAAAGATAGTAACCTTTTTTGTATTTCTATTTTTGTAGAGGACACATTTTTGAGAAGTTCGTTGATTCGCTGCAAAGAATGACCTCGCTTGACCCAGGGCTCCTCAGCTCCGGTCCATTGACAGAGTCTGAAGATCATCATGAGGATCAGAGTAAGCAAACCAAAGACACTTCATTACCTTCACAACTTAAAGATCTATTCGAGGGTTTTAAAGAGGTCCGGTTTGACGAGCACACCAGTGGTAAAATCATCGTCAATTTTGATCGACTTATAAGGAACATGAGCAGTTTACGCAAGGTGGAATCTCATAGAGGTGAATTTTATCGTTATAACAAAAACATAGAAGAACATGAAAGATTCGACCAGCAGAATTCAAGACAAAAATTACAAAACATTGGTGAGAGGAATGTGGACAACGATCCGAGTATCCAGCTTGATGTAGGAAATTTTGAGAGAAACGATCTGCACACATTTATAACTGATAATTTTGACGGGAAGGATACTGGCAATAAAGTTTATCTAAACTTAAAGAACAAGGACTTTCCCAAAATTGTCAAAAGAAACTTTGATAGGAAGGGAATTAATACATTTGTTCCAAAAAACTTCGACAGGGAGGAAATTAATAAATTTGGTCCAAAAAACTTTGACAGGGAGGAAATTAATAAATTTGTTCCAAAAAACTTTGACAAGGAGGAAATTAATAAATTTGTTCCAAAAAACTTCGACAGGGAGGAAATTAATAAATTTGTTCCAAAAAACTTCGACAGGGAGGAAATTAATAAATTTGGTCCAAAAAACTTCGACAGGGAGGAAATTAATAAATTTGGTCCAAAAAACTTTGACAGGGAGGAAATTAATAAATTTGGTCCAAAAAACTTCGACAGGGAGGAAATTAATAAATTTGGTCCAAAAAACTTCGACAGGGAGGAAATTAATAAATTTGGTCCAAAAAACTTTGACAGGGAGGAAATTAATAAATTTGGTCCAAAAAACTTTGACAGGGAGGAAATTAATAAATTTGTTCCAAAAAACTTTGACAAGGAGGAAATTAATAAATTTGTTCCAAAAAACTTTGACAGTGAGGAAATTAACAAATTTGTTCCAAAAAACTTTGACAGTGAGGAAATTAATAAATTTGTTCCAAAAAACTTTGACAGTGAGGAAATTAATAAATTTGTTCCAAAAAACTTTGACAGGGAGGAAATTAATAAATTTGTTCCAAAAAACTTTGACAGTGAGGAAATTAATAAATTTGTTCCAAAAAACTTTGACAGTGAGGAAATTAATAAATTTGTTCCAAAAAACTTTGACAGGGAGGAAATTAATAAATTTGTTCCAAAAAACTTTGACAGTGAGGAAATTAATAAATTTGGTCCAAAAAACATGTTTAGGGAGGACATTAACAAATTTGATCCAAAAAATTTCGACTATGATGGAATAAATAAATTTGCACCAAGAATCTTCTACAGGGAGGAAATGAATCCTTTAGGACCAAGTCACTTTGACAGTGAAATACTGTCCAAATTCGGTCCTAAGACAACCATCGAAAGATTTAATCGCCCATTTTCTTCCAGTAATATAATTAGCAAGTTGGTCCCAGCAAGTTTTGAAGGAAGTCCTTTTCCGAAATTCGATTTGGGCGATTTTCCAACTCAGCTGATAAATATTGTTCATCCCAATAATTTGGAAGAAGAGGAATCATAAACACTTCTTTTTTTAAGGAACATTAAGGATAATAAATGAAGGCATAAGTTCAAGCTGTGTGAATGAAATAGTAGAACAAGGTTTGTGGTGGGGTAATAAGGGGAGAGACTGCAATCAGGTTAGTACAAAATAAAATGAGTAAAACAAAGTAGGGTTAAACCTGAAAAAATAATAAACGCCACAAAACAGCGAACGTGTCGGCAGAAAGCCTTCGTCAGCGAACAAAACAACAGAAAAAACGGTATACAAATAAAAATAAGAAATAGCAATTAGCTGGTAAGTAGTATCTGTGGGCAGCAATAGAAGTGTGCTTGAATCAAAAGACAGGACGATAAGAGGTGACATTTCGGCTAAGAGCCTTCCTCGGCAAACAGGACCAATGAAAATATGACAAGAGAAGGAGCACAATTGAAAATTAAGTGATCGCCATTGCTATTGCCGGAAGTACGAATTATTTTCAAAAAGAAATAAATGAAGGGACTGCTTTTTTGTTTTTTGTCCTGTTACCTTATTTCAAGCTTCCACATACCTCGTTTCACTATTTCATTTATTTTCAAAACCAAGATTATAGGTAGAGAAAGAATATATATATAAATTACGTCATGAAAAAAATTATGTAATATGGCTAGGAATGACTTGTCAAATTATGAGAGTATGAGTATGGTTGTCATGATTGTATAATGCCGTTTAAAACCATACGTACCGCGTCCTGTGAAGACACGGCAACTCAGACCTCATCATTTCTTTTCTGTTCCACGTGTTTCAATAAAATAAGTTCAAATATCATTCAGACAATGGTTAATGTTATTGTTTATATTTTGATCATCCACTGGGAAGTTGCGTTGGAATAAGGACTACTCACAAAGGAGTCATCTATAATTGACGTCAAGCTATTTTGGCAAAATATTGTAACACGAATAAGACACTTTTATTGTAACACAAATAAGACACTTTTATTGTAACACAAATAAGACACTTGTATGACAAATGAGGCCCTTTTATTGTAAATATAATAATAAACGTTTATGGTAACTCAAATAAGACACTTTTATTGTAACTAAAATAAGACACTTTTATCATAACCAAAATAAGACGCTTTTATTGTAACTCATATAGACACTTTTATTGTACAATCATAAGACACTTTTAGTATAAGACAAATAAGACACTTTTATAGTAACACACATAAGACAGGTTTATCACAATCGTCCATAAATTTCGTCATTTTTTGGATGGTTCCAAGATGAAACCACAACAGGAATTTAGAAACCGGGCAGTTTTGTTATTTAACATGGGGAGGGGGTGAGGTCACAATATGGGGAGGGAGGTCACAATATGGGGAGGGAGATCACAATATGGGGAGGGAGATCACAATATGGGGAAGGAGATCACAATATGGGGAGGGAGGTCACTATGTTTATTTTTTATTTTTATAAAATTACTTTTAACCGCTGACCATAGATCTGACAAAGGCATTCGACTTGGTAAGTTGGAGAGGTCTGTTCAGTATCACGCAAAGAATAGGTTGTCCCCCACGACTGTTCACAATCATACAGTCGTTTCACAAAGTATGCACAGCACAGTTTCAATGGCGCTGTCTCTGAGGCATTCCCAGTCAGCAACGGAAGAAAACAGGGTTGTGTACTGGGACCAGCGCTCTTCTCCATTTTCTCCTCGATGTCCTCATTCAATTTGCCTTCAAGGACTGTGAAGATGGAGTGTACATCCATACCAGATCTGATGGTAGGCTGTTCAATATCGCCCGCCTTCGTGCAAAGACCAAGGTAAAAAAATGTACTAATTCGTGAACTGCTGTTCGCTGACCGAGCCGCCGTAAAGAACTTTCACTCAAGAACTCAAGAGTTATTCATACCGCACACTTACACGGCCAATGTCTTGCTACAGGAACAACGGAAACCACAAACAAACATTTCAATGGCTGGGGGAAATATGTACGATGAATTTAAAAAAAAAAATTCCATTCATTTGGATCATTAAAAATATCTTATCTTATCTTAACATCTCACACAGAAGAAGGTCTTCAGGGGCTGGTTAATTGTCTATCACACGCTTGTAAAGAGTTTAAACTGTCAATTAGTCTACAGAAAACACATGTCATGATGCACGAAGCACCGTCCCCTCCAATCATGTCTATTGAGGGTCATAATCTGTCGGTTGTTGAGCATTTCACATATCTTGGATCCAATATTTCTAGCTCTCTAGGATCGCGAAAGCTTCGGCAAGTATGGCTAAACTGAATAAGCGGGTGTGGAATAATATCAATCTAACTGAAGAATTGTTCGTGTCTAATTAATCTATTTTAAAGCTTTATCGCAGTCCAACACTTTTTAAAACTGAAAAAAAAAAACTAACTGTCTATCAGGCATGTGTACGTAATACGCTCCTATATGTCAGTGAAGTGTGCACCACATATACCAGTCTTGAGCGGAAACTCAACAGCTTTCATCAAAGATATCTGCGTCGCATTTTACACATTCGATGGCAGGACAAGGTGCCTAACACGGAGGTCTTGGCAAGAGCAACAATTTTTAGCATATTCTACGCTCTTAGCAAGATGCGCCTTCGCTAGTTAGGTCATGTATGGGGAATGGAGGAAGGCCGTATACCAACGATGCTGTATGAAGGAGTAAAAAGGCAGCAGCTGCGCGAAACGAAGCCCTTGCACCAAAAAGAACAATACAGAAGGCCAAACAAAACCAGGAATCAATATTCTCCTGCGAGAAATGCAGTCGAGAATGTCAGGATAGGCCTATTGAGCTACTCGTCGAAGTGTAGAACCATATAGCTAAACTATCGTCTCGCGAAGATGGAAAGATGCCATATATATATATATATAGTTGTGAAAAATAATAATGATAGGCAACGTTTCTAACATGTATCTTCTATGGGGTCTAACAACCCCGACAGTATGTGAAGGTCGATAAAATGTCAACATGACCTGTCTTCATTGAGATAAGCCCCCTCCCCGTCCACCGCAGTTAACAGAGACCCCGACCCTCTCAGTTAACAGAAGACCCCGACACTCTCAGTTAACAGAAGACCCGGCCCCCGCAGTTAACAGAAGACCCCGACCCTCGCAGTTAACAGAAGACCCCGACCCTCTCAGTTAACAGAAGACCCGGCCCCCAAGTTAACAGAAGACCTGGCCCCCGCAGTTAACAGAAGACCCGGCCCCCGCAGTTAACAGAAGACCCGCCCCCCACAGTTAACAGAAGACCCCGACCCTCGCAGTTAACAGAAGACCCGGCCCCGCAATTAACAGAAGTCCCAAACCCCCGCAGTTAACAGAAGACCCAGCCCCCTCAGTTAACAGAAGACCAGAGATCAATGAAAAAAAAAAAATCTGTTCAGTGATAAGAAAAAACATACCAAAAAAAAAAAAATTAACAGAGAAGGACGAAAAAGTTCAACTTTTTTTTTTTTTTTGGGAGGGGGGGGGGTCGTGGTGGATCTGAAAAATTTGATAGAATGTGTTGTCATCGGAAACAAGTCAATGTGCCGAGTTCCAGCTCGACGCAATGACGGGAAGTGTTTCAACTAGCCTTCCGAAGATTTAGCTGCTACAATGAAACGCCCTTACAAAAGCAGAGATAATCTAAAGGATTTAATAGCTCATCGCATCAATCTTTTTACGCCTGTATTTAAAATTTATTTTCAAAACCTTGCAATTTTGTAAGACGCAAGCACATCTTTTCGAGAACCCTCTTAATTCACGCTAGAAAGACTACGCATTAAGAACATGGCTAAACTACACATGCCTTTTTAAAAAAGTGGTACCTTGAGATATGCGCCCCCACCCCCACCCCACACACAAACACTCTCATACACACGCACTCATCGGGCACACACACACATACACTATGACTTACGAACACTCCCACAGACAGGATAAGGTCAATTGTGCAGTCCTTATCTATTTAACCCGTTGCATAAAAGCTATTGCGAGAATACACTCGTGATTTTTTTTAAAGCCAGAGAGCCAATTTGTTTCTTTTTCCAAAAAAAAAAAAAAAACGATGGAAAATTTTTTTTTTAAAAAACAAAAGGTTAACAAATTTTTGCACCCAAAAATCCAATCGCTTCACACAAAAAAAAAAAAACAAAAAAAAAAAAAAAAAAAAACCGCTGGAGACTTTTTTTTTTAATAAACCAAGGGTTCTAATATTTTTGCAGCCAAAGATCCGATCGCTTCAACCAAAAAAAAAAAACACAAAAAAACAAAAAAAAAAACACAACAAAACAACACAAAAAGAACAACAAAAAGAACAACAAAAAGAACAACAAAAAGAACAACAAAAAACCTCATTGTTAATTGTTTCTTTGTTTAGTTTTACAAATTAAAAAGTTTTGAATATTTACTATCTCAGTGAGAAGTAGCAGCGAATGAAAGAGTCGTGATATGCCATTCAACCTCTGAGAAACCAATTGAATAGAAGCGTTACTATAAAATTTCTTTGATAAACGCCTCGGACACTAAAGCTACCTGAACTCTGTGCCACCTGCAATCTTTTAGATAGAGCAGACGTTTTCGGCTCTGGACTAACTGATTTCCGTCAATAATAGCGCACTTCCGTTTCTACAACTCCCCCAATCAACCTGGCGAACTCCAGACACTGACGTTTCTGAACCCCTTCTATATCTTTGTTGTTTCATATCATCTTATAGTGTGCAGAAGGACGTTTTTAGCCGAAAAGTGCTGTCTTTTTTTTTTTCCTGTCTTTATATTTCCATCTTCCACCCATCTTATTCTACAAATTGCCCCCCCCCCCACACACAGACATAGAGCTAAAACGCCATCCTTCGCCTATCCTTTCTGTAGTAATCGAATTCGAGTATCCTAAATTGCAAGATATCGGTAACTATGAAGGATTTGTGAATTTCTTTTTGTTAGAAAGACGTGTAGCCGAGATTGTGTAGGGCGGAAGAAACGAATTTCGTGGGCAATGGGAAGTGCCTGCATCAGGAGATCCCCTTTCGTGTTTTTCCTTAATGGAACTATAAATGTTTTTGTTTTTTTTTAAATAATGACTTTGCGCTGCGGCTAGGCCTCGACATGAACGTTTGATCTAATTAGTAAGTTTTTATTTGTACTTAAGGGAACTTTGCTCATTACATGAGAGCATTGTGCTGGGTGGTTATTTACTTGACGTCTGAACGCTGTGATACGTGTCATTGTTGAATAATTATTCCTGGATGAATTTGGGCAACCTTTAAATTATATGTATTTAAATTAGTTTTTCATAAGTTTGTTTCGGTGCGGCTTGATGGAGTTTTCTAGTGGAAAGGGAAATGTAACAAAAAAATAATTTGTTACTTTTTTTACTTTTCGCATGAGAAGGCTTCTTGCCAACACGTTCACTGTTTTGTTGCGTTATTTTTTTCTAGTTTTCAAACACTTTTAATTTTTTATAATTTTACTGTTATTTTGTGTGTTTGCATATTTCCTGTTTACGAGACGAGGGCTTTTGAAGACCATAGACCAGAGCTTTTCAACTCCCCTCCCCCACAAACACACACTAATCATTTCCAAGAGCTCCCTCAACCATATCAGATGATGGTCGATAAATTTGACGGTTTCAAACTTCACAGTCTTCCAGCCAGGCCAAAAAAAGGACAGGGCTTGGGGTTAAATATTGAATAAATGTGTACAATGTTAAATTAAGTTTAAAAAAAAAAACCAACAACTTATGAGACCCATTGAGGTATTGTATCATAGACATAATATGATTGCAAAACATAGTCATTGCAGTAGCTTTAATTTAAGAAAAAAATGTTTACACTACATATGATTACTGTATGTTTTTTATGTGCAGTTTTTTAACATTCCATTTTTAAGGCTTTCAATAAATTTTACAGGAAAAAAAAGAAGAACATTAAGAAAAATCCACAATCGTTTTCGTAAGTTTTAATCAGATACCACTTTAAATGATTGTTTTTTTTTCACCTACTGCTCTACTTTTGTCAAGAACAGAAAACTAGGCTTTCGACTCACACATGACATTCACTTGCTGATATGGGGATCTCGTTCGTATTTCATCGCACGGCATGTTTTGCAAGCTCCAATCTGAACTGTTAGTAAGGATGCGGCAGTCGTTCGTGGCGAATCTGTCGGATGGCGCGAGAATACTAATTCCCTCAAACATCGGAAGATCGGAATACTGCTTTTCCCAACGGTTGTTCACCAGACGACCAGCTACGAGGATCGTAGTTAGCCCGGAATGCTCGTTCAAGAAATGTTCCACTCTCTCGTATTCTGCATCGTCATCAATTTCTAGCAGAGTGGCGCCGTAGCTTTCACACAACGCGACGGCATCGTCATATCCCCACACAGGCGCGCGGAGAATCCTATAGATGTCGCCCCCGTAGGTTAGGTTGAACGGATAGAACAAAGACCTCTCAAAGAGACCGAGGAGCGGGTGAACCTCCTTCTCAAATGTCTTTAGGACTGCTAGTGTTTTATTGACGTCGTCGTCATGCTTGGACTGCGTGCCGGCGAACTGGTAAAAATTTGCTGACAAATTTGAGTGGAGATCTGAAAATTTCTGTTCCACGCTCTTAAGGTTCTCGTTTAATTCTTTTATCTTATTTAGTATCTCGTCTCTCTCTGGCTGCCTGGTGGTCACGTTGGTTTTTGTCGAAGTAGAGACAGTGTGGCCCACGTTGTCAATGCCCTGTGCAGTGCAGACGTAGAACCCACTCTGACGCTGCGCCGGATAAAGCCAACTGAGCTCGAGGTAAGAGACCCCATCCGCGGCGATGCGTCCAGACGATGAGTTGAAATCTGGGAGTATGGTGTTGACGTGAGGAACATAGGTGTTAATGGAAGCCAGCTCTTCGCCGTTGTCTGACGTGGCGTTGACGTCATTTTGGCGGTAAATAAACAAAGAGATGAGGGCGGTCATGTCTGACTTGCCGTCGTTGGCGTACGTGCAGTTGACCGTGAGATGGTCAGTGATTCCAAGAGATAGCTCTTTTGGGGTTGCCGTCAAGTTAAGCTGTCCACCTGTAGGACAACAATTTTAATATTAATAACACTATTTGGTGTGAAATAATAATACAAAAGTATTATAAAATAATTACAATGCTTTTTTACACCCGTTTTACCATGATATTGAAAGAGATTTTTTTGTTTCTTTAATTTTGTCTCGGTTGGCAGAGTTTGATGATCATTATCAAAGATTTAGAGCTCTGGAGTTTACTTTACAGTTGTATCAACGTGCCTTTTAATGTAGCAAAATGGTGTTATTTATGTTTGAGCTTATTTAGTTATATAAATATATGTATGTATGTATATATATATATATATATATATATAAATATATATATATATATATATATATATATATATATATTATATATAATATAATATATATATATATACATACATACATACACACACATATATATATATATATATATATATATGTTTATATATATATATATACACACATTACTTTAAGTAATAGAGAAGGAAAAGATATTTGTTTGCAGCCATCACAGTAATAAAGTAACGACGAAGTAATGACAAAGTAATCACAATGATAAAGTTGACAAAGTAATGACTTTACATTCATGACAAAGTAATGACTTTACATCATGACAAAGTCATGTTTTAGCAATGTCTTTGAGGCACTAACTCCCTTCACAATCAAAATTTCATATTTTCCTTTATTTGTGTACTCCTCAACGTTACATGAAAAAATTAGCTAAGCTTACGCTTAAAGTTTTAGAAGTAATTGGGTAAACATTTTTTTCCCTACTACACTTTTATCTTACTTATGCTGTTGACTTCATCTTTTCAATTCATTCGATCATTCAAGTGTCTTAAATGTTACATTTTAACACACAATTCGACTCATTAAAATAACTTAACATATTAATAGTTTATGCATGATATGGACAGGTTCCGTGCAAAATAAGTTCGTATTACCTGCCGTAGCCAGACAACAGACAATTAACCAGCACAAGACACGTCTTGGTCTAATTTCCATTTTCATCTTATCCTCTCCTTCTTCCAAATAACTTTCACAGACCGATTACAATCAGAGAGATCTAGTTTTGACCAAATTTCTTCCGGTTGTCTAAAGTCGGGCCAAGGCATGCCGAGATAAGGATTCGTCTGTTAAGATGTTGATATCTACGGCACCATTTGTCATTGCTAAAATATTTAGTCGGCACCATTTATCATTGCTAAAATATTTAGTCGGCACCATTTATCATTGCTAAAATATTTAGTCGGCACCATTTATCATTGCTAAAATATTTAGTCGGCACCATTTATCATTGCTAAAATGTTTTGCCGGCACTCACTTAACATGCGTGATATCACTATATAAACGTGTGCATCTTATGTACATCTCATTCATGCTATATCTCAGTGTGTGATTTCGCAATCATGCTATGTCTCACTGTGTGATCTCTAAATCATACTCTCTCTCACTGGGGGATCTCTCAATCATGTTCTCTCTTACTGCTTGATACCTCAATCCTGTATTGTCCCACTGTGTGATCTCGCAATCACGCTATCTCTCACTTTGTGATCTCTCAATCATGCTCTCTGTCACTGGGGGATCTCTCAATCATGCTATCTCTTACTGCGGGATATCTCAATCATGTTATATCTCACTGTGTGATCTCTAAATCATTCTGTTTCTCATTGGGGGGATCTCTCAATCATGCTACATCTCATCGGGGATCTCTCAACATTTCATTTATTTTTACTTGCATGTCTATCACTCTCTCAAATTAAATTTATATAATCTTTAAAAAAATATATGTAAAAAATTATAAAATCATTAGTCTTGCGTGAAGAAATTAAAATTTCAAAATCAATATACACAAAAATTTATGAATTAATTCTGACATCCCCTTAGAATTTAAGACATAAATAAATTGCCCTAATACAGTGAGATATAACATGATTGAGATATCCCGCAGTAAGAGATAGCATGATTGAGAGATCCCCCAGTGACAGATAGCATGATTGAGAGATCACAAATCATCAGTCTTGCGTGAAGAAATTAAAATTTCAAAATCAATATACACAAAAATTTATGAATTAATTCTGACATCCCCTTAGAATTTAAGACATAAATAAATTGCCGTAATACCTTTTGAGGGTCCAAAGTCTTACTAGGGATCTGCAATTTTTTAATAAATACTTTCCTTGCAGTTCAAACCTAATGATTGCTATAGCAAAAACGTCAGTTGTTTTCTTTTGTCTGTATCTTTGTGTTGTCTGTATCTTTGTGTTGTCTGTATTTTTGTGTTGTCTGTATCTTTGTGTTGTCTGTATCTTTGTGTTGTCTGTATCTTTGTGTTGTCTGTGCCTCTGTGTTGTCAGTGTCTTTGTGTTGTCTGTATCTTTGTGTTGTCTGTATCGTTGTGTTGTCTGTGCCTCTGTGTTGTCAGTGTCTTTGTGTTGTCTGTATCTTTGTGTTGTCTGTATCTTTGTGTTGTCTGTATCTTTGTGTTGTCTGTATCTTTGTGTTGTCTGTATCTTTGTGTTGTCTGTGTGCAGGTTTCCCTCTACCCTGTGTTTATATTTCACTTTGCTTGAAACTGAACTCAGTTCTTTCCCCATTTTCCATTATAATCCAACAAAAAAAAAGTTATTTAAAAAGTACAACAACGTTTGTGCAATGTGCACTGTGCACTGTATACCTTTCACCTGAAAGACTAACTTTCCTAAATACTCTAAAAACGCCGTAAATTCTTCTAGGCTAGCTACGCAATCATGTTCCCTGTTTCACTACCAAAACGGTGTTAATTTGATATTGAATCACTGTTTCCCCACCAGAACGGTGTTAATTTGATATTGAATCACTGTTTCCCTACCAGAACGGTTTTAATTTGATATTGAATCACTGTTTCCCTACCAGAACGGTGTTAATTTGATATTGAATCACTGTTTCCCCACCAGAACGGTGTTAATTTGATATTGAATCACTGTTTCCCTACCAGAACGGTGTTAATTTGATATTGAATCACTGTTTCCCTACCAGAACGGTGTTAATTTGATATTGAATCACTGTTTCCCTACCAGAACGGTGTTAATTTGATATTGAATCACTGTTTCCCTACCAGAACGGTGTTAATTTGATATTGAATCACTGTTTCCCTACCAGAACGGTGTTAATTTGATATTGAATCACTGTTTCCCTACCAGAACGGTGTTAATTTGATATTGAATCACTGTTTCCCTACCAGAACGGTGTTAATTTGATATTGAATCACTGTTTCCCTACCAGAACGGTGTTAATTTGATATTGAATCACTGTTTCCCTACCAGAACGGTGTTAATTTGATATTGAATCACTGTTTCCCTACCAGAACGGTGTTAATTTGATATTGAATCACTGTTTCCCTACCAGAACGGTGTTAATTTGATATTGAATCACTGTTTCCCTACCAGAACGGTGTTAATTTGATATTGAATCACTGTTTCCCTACCAGAACGGTGTTAATTTGATATTGAATCACTGTTTCCCTACCAGAACGGTGTTAATTTGATATTGAATCACTGTTTCCCTACCAGAACGGTGTTAATTTGATATTGAATCACTGTTTCCCTACCAGAACGGTGTTAATTTGATATTGAATCACTGTTTCCCTACCAGAACGGTGTTAATTTGATATTGAATCACTGTTTCCCTACCAGAACGGTGTTAATTTGATATTGAATCACTGTTTCCCTACCAGAACGGTGTTAATTTGATATTGAATCACTGTTTCCCTACCAGAACGGTGTTAATTTGATATTGAATCACTGTTTCCCTACCAGAACGGTGTTAATTTGATATTGAATCACTGTTTCCCTACCAGAACGGTGTTAATTTGATATTGAATCACTGTTTCCCTACCAGAACGGTGTTAATTTGATATTGAATCACTGTTTCCCTACCAGAACGGTGTTAATTTGATATTGAATCACTGTTTCCCTACCAGAACGGTGTTAATTTGATATTGAATCACTGTTTCCCTACCAGAACGGTGTTAATTTGATATTGAATCACTGTTTCCCTACCAGAACGGTGTTAATTTGATATTGAATCACTGTTTCCCTACCAGAACGGTGTTAATTTGATATTGAATCACTGTTTCCCTACCAGAACGGTTTTAATTTGATATTGAATCATTGTTTCCCTACCAGAACGGTGTTAATTTGATATCGAATCATTGTTTCCCTACCAGAGCGGTGTTAATTTGATATTGAATCATTGTTTCCCTACCAGAACGGTTTTAATTTGATATTGAATCACTGTTTCCCTACCAGAACGGTGTTAATTTGATATTGAATCATTGTTTCCCTACCAGAACGGTGTTAATTTGATATTGAATTATTTGAGCGTTTATCTGCAAGATATTAATAGGATACAAAAAAAAAAAATCTGTCTTTTCCATTTTCAGCAGTCCCATTTCTCCTTTTCTCTTTCTCTTCAAACTAGTCTACATTAAAAAAGTCAGTCACCTCAAGTATTAAATCAATTAAAAGGCGCCTTCTCCAGGGAGACTACCGCATTTTCTTTTAAACAATGTCATATTAGCTTCCCTTTGGAGAAAAACCAATAAGAGACAAAAAAAGAAGCTAATCAAGTGAATGAAATCATTGATGAAATGGCATGAAGTGAAACGATCCCTTTTCTCGTACATAATTCAAATCTGTTATTACAGCTTCGCAATTTCCGAACATTGGATTTACATAAGGTAACCTCAACCAACATCCAATAATTGTCTGTATTATTGAAATTTCTCCCCAAAACTCTAAGTTGCTCCCCCGAGGCCATGCATTAAGAAACGACTGAATGTATAATTACTCAAACTTGGAAACTGTGTAGAACAGTTTAGAGGTTTAGATGCAATCATTTGTGCCAAATTGCAGTTTAAGAAAGTAGTAGGTTTTAATTAAGTCTAGTGTTTAAAGATTTGTGTTTGAAAATCGAAAATGACAACGTTATTTGTTTTTGTTTTTTTTAAAAAATGAAAGCAAAAACGCTTTCTATGAATGTTTGAATGTGATAGCAGCCATGTAACGAGTTGATCTAAAGGTAAAAGAGTCAGAGAACAACATAAGGTCGACCACCATTGAAATAAGCTTAAAATAATTGGATTGTTTCAAGAATTTCAACACTCAAGTGCTGTCAAGAACAGCTCATGTTTGGCTACTATTCTCAGTGATGCTCCAGACGTCAATGGTATAGAGCATTATGCCTTAGGTTATTATCCTTGTATGCCATTGAAGCACTGAAATGCTCTTATAATTATTTGATCTGTGGATTCTTGACTTAAAAGTTGAAGAAAATAATAGGTTTTTATTTTTTTTATTTAAGTCACTGGGCAACCCAATTCAAATAGTGGTTTTCAAAATCAATATTAAAAGTTTATTAATTATAAAACTATTCCTGAGTGACGACAGAATCATATGTCAAGTGTTCTTTGCTTATATACACATCTTTTCTTCTTTTAAATGAAAGTTTTCACCAACAATTATAACAAAAAAATAAATTAATTAATAACAGATTTATATTAGTTATAATTAATTGGTAATTATTATTAAGAACGGTAAATTCTTATTATCATGTTGCTAATTGCGCCATGTAAAGATAACTTTGTCAAGAATGTGATTTATTATAATTGTTTTTTCCTCCAAATGCGTTACATTGAATTATCTTTTTTGGTAACGGGGCGGGCTAAGTTATATTTTATTTTTTTCCTTATTAAACGTTTTTTGTTTTTCACGTTTAAATTTAAAGAAATGTTCATGCTTTGTTGATTCCCAAGCTAAGTTCTATGACCTCAATAGTATTGCACCAAAATCATGAAAAACTCATTATAATAGCTGGTGAGGACAAGTTAATATATATAAGGCCAGTCAAGCACAAACAATCACACCCGGGTGGATGAGACTCGTTAACCTTGGTCGGCAACTCATCTAAGAGAAGGAAACTCTGAATTCAAACCCGGAGCTGGAGTCCCGTAAGGCGCATACAATGACAATTCCTGCAACCGAACCCATCCCTGGTCGTCTTGACGTACAGTCCTGCCACTGGATATGGTGGGCCCGGACGA